GTAGTTTGAGCATTCTTTGGCATTGCCTTTCTTAGGGATTGGAATGAAAACTGACCTTTTCCAGTCCTGTGGCCACTGCTGAGTTTTCCAATGTTGCTGGCATATTGAGTGCAACACTTTCACAGCATCATCTTTCAGGATTTGAAATAGCTCAACTGGAATTTCATCACATCCACTAGCTTTGTTCGTAGTGATGCTTTCTAAGGCCCACTTGACTTCACATTCCAGGATGTCTGGCTCTAGGTGAGTGATCACACACCGCAACAAAGACCCAGTGAAGCCAAAAATTAGTTAATTTCAAAAACTTGTGGCTGAACCACTGGCTCCACAGTAATCAAGACAATGTGGTATCAGTAAAAGTAAAGATATGTGGCTCAATGGAACGAAACAGAATCCAGAAAGAGAACCATACCTGTGACGTTTTACTAAAGTGAAAAGATAACTTGTGGGGCAAGATTAGTCTTTTCAACAAATGGTGCAGAAACAATTGGATATCCATACGCCAAAAAAAAAAAAAAAAAAAAGGAAGCTCAGCCCATATCTCACATCATACATAAAACTTAGCTAAAATATATCATAGACCTAAATGTAAAACCAAGACTATAAAACATGGAGTGAGTGTGTGCTAAGCTGCTTCAGTCATGTCTGACTCTAAGTAACCCTATGGACTACAGCCTGCCAGGCTCCTCTGCCCATGGGATTTTCCAGGAAAGAATACTGGAGTGGGTTACCATTTCCTCCTGTAGGGGATCTTCCTAACCCAGGGATTGAGCCTCATGCCTTAACAGGCAGGTTCTTTACCTCCAGTGCTACCTCGGTAGCCCCATAAAACATGGAAAAGAAAAGGTAAAAGAAAATCCTTCTGACCTGAGAATTAGGCAATTTGGTTTTTTTGTTTTTTGTTTTAGATAAGACACAAAAAGCAGTTATCAAAACAGAAAAAAAAAATTGAACATCAAAATTGAAAACTCTTTGAAAGACACTTAAGAAAATGAAAAAACAAACCATAAACTGGAAGAACTATTTGCAAAACACATACATGATTTTTAAAAATTCAAAATATTTCTAAAATCTCAAAATTCACCAAAACAAGCCAATTTTTAAGTGAGGCAAAACATTTGAGCAGACACTTAAGTGAAGAGGAAATATGGATGGTAAATAGAACATGTAAAGATGTTCAACATCATTAGTCATAGGGAAATACAAATTAAAACTATGAGATATCATCACAATGACTAAAATTCATGAGTGTGTGTGTGTGTGTGTGTGTGTGTGTGTATGGAGAGAGAGAGAGAGAACTAAGTTCTTGGTGCTGGAGAAGACTCTTGAGAGTCCCTTGGACAGTAAGAAAATCAAAGCAGTCAATCCTAAAAGGAAATCAACCCAGTTCATCAGAAGGACTGATGCTGAAGGTGAAGCTCCAATCCTTCGGCCACTTGATGTGAAGAGCCAATTCACTGGAAAAGATCTGCTGGGAAAGATTGAGGGCAGGAGGAGAAGGGGGCGACAGAGGATGAGATGGTTAGATGGTATCACCGACTCAGTGGACATGGGTTTGAGCAGAATATCGGAGATAGTGAAGGACAAGGAAGCCTGGTGTGCTGCAGTCCATCCGGTGCAGAGTCAGACATGACTTAACAGCTGAACAACAACAAACACACAAGATACAACCAACTGGGACTCTCACACTGCTGGGGGGTAGTCACTTTGGAAAACAATTTGGCAATTTCTCAAAAAAGTTTAACAAAACCCTACTATATAATCTAGTCATTCCACATCTAGGTACTTTCCTAAGAGAAATGAAAGCACATGGGCCTAGAGTTGCCCTGAATGTTCACAGAAGCTATATTCATAAAATCTCCAAACTAGAAACAATCGAATGTTCTTGAATGGATGAATAGACAAATAAATTGAGTCAGGTTCCTACTGCGGACTCAGCTATAAAAAGGAACAAACTACTGACATGTCCAACAACATGGACAAATCTTAAGAACTTTATGCACAGAGAAAAGCTACTATATGACTTCATTTATAAGCCATTTAGAAAAAGACAAAACTCTAGGACAGAAATCCAGAGGTTGCCAGGGGCTGAGTGTGGGAAGAGTGATTGACTTCAAAAGGGATAAGAGTGAACTTTGGGGATGAAGCCAATACTGTCTGGATCATAATGATGCTTATGCAACTATATATTTGGCAAAACTTGCAAAATGGCAAACCTAAATTTTATGATATGTCAATTACATCTTAATAAACCAGACTTGAAATTTTTTATGATTATTACCATACTCAGAGAATGTTCTCTCTTTTTAAGCAAAAGTGTACCATTAAAAGAGGTATTATTTATGCTAATTTCTTCTAATTAATACATGACTTAAGTACCACAATTTTGTATAGAGAGAGCTATAAATAATGTATCTCACTCACATGGCACGGTCTGTACATCGCATCTGACCGGGAACTTTTAGAGTCACTGCTTCTAGAACGGTCCCTGCACAGAATCAAGATGAGAAAAGTAGTCGTGAGTATTAATTCTCTGCTTCTCACTCACGCAGCTGGGGGAGGTAAGCACAGCCATTTCCTAAATGCAAAGGAAATTATTTCCATTTCCTAAATGCAAAGATACAAATGTGCAAAGATGAAGCTAGAGCTTGGTAAAGGTCACACGGCAAATGGGTGGCAAACCCTGAATTTGAATCCACGTCTTTTTACAGAGAAAACTGTCAATGTTCCTCAATCTTCTCTCCAGAAACACCAACATGGAAAGCGTGGGGCAAGAGCTCTGGATGGAAACGTAAACCAGTTGAAAGGAAGTCGATGAGCGGGGCCTGAGCCTGTTTACAGACCTGTGGGCTATTTCGGGTGCTTTCCACAGACGGCTCAGCGGCCGTGACGCCGCCCACGGCTCAGCCTGAGCCTGCGCGGTGGCACCGGCCCAGGTGTGACGGGAGCCGGGACTCACCAGATGCTGCGCTGCTCTGCTCTGACGAGCCCTGAAGCCGAAAGAGCCCCTCTGAGGACAGACGGCCTGGCCTCCAGCCCCGCTCCAGCCCGCACTCCTGTGGCTCCTCAGGACCCGAGGCAGGCAGCCCTGAGAATCTTCTCGTGTGGATAAGCTGACGCCCGTGTCCCCACCCGGTGGGATTTCGTTAAGGGGCATTTTACTTAAGAGGGAAAACGAAGTTGTGTGGGAGATTCTGGGCTGAACAAAGAGTTATGGTTATGGGTTGAGTTGTCCCCCAAAGAAAAGGTATTCCCCCCGACAAAGGCCCATCGCCAGGCCCGGTAGAGAGCCTGCTCCTGTTCAGTGGATGAGTGAATGAATGAATGAATGAATGAGCCCCTGACTGGCAGTGGTGTCATCCGACTGACGGATGGCTAACCCTCCACCCCCAGGGCCTCACCCCACAGAGAGGCACCGTGGGACATTGGCTCACCCCTCCTCATCTCCCATCCTCCCTACCCCTGCATACCAGAGTTTCACCACACTAGTTTACACTAGCTAATTTATACCACACTAAATGTCCTTGCTTCCTCTCCTCTTGGCCTTTGCACATGTTGCACCCCCTCTCCCATCCCAAACCCACTTTCTGTCCCAGGGTGGATGACCGTCCTCCCCCGTTGTGGCCCTTGGGCTGCGAGGCTTCTTAACTACACAATTAGAGGGGAGCTGGTTCCTCCCTAGCCAGATCAGAGGTTCAGATCCAAATCAGCCTAATATGGTGGAACTTTGACTCCACCTGAGAAACTCCAATACTTTGGCCACTTTGAACACCTGATGCGAAGAGCTGACTCATTGGAAAAGACCTTGATGCTGGGAAAGATTGAAGGCAGGAGGATAAGGGAACAACAGAGGATGAGATGGTTGGATGGCATCACTGACTCAATGGACATGAGTTTGAGTAAACTCCGGGAGTTGGTGATGGACAGGGAGACCTGGCGTGCTGCAGTCCATGGGGTTTGCAAAGAGTCGGACATGACTGAGCAACTGAACTGAACTGAACTGAACAGCATCCATGGTTAAGAGACTACCAGCCTCTCCCATGTCATTATCAGGGATGACGTCAAAGCCCTACCATTACAGCTGTTATGACATGGTCACCTCAAGAATCTACCATAATTGACTGTCTTAAGCTCTTTGCCTCAGCTAGTCTCCATGAGTTTTGCAACTTACAGAGGAAGGAAATCAAACTTACAGAGAATCAATCTAGGACAAATTTACCCTTATCTGTAAAGAGGACAGTTAGCAGTGAGGTCACAACAGGTTGGCACTCGAGTAGCGCTGTCAACGAGCTAAAGCAAAGGCAGTGTGATAGATGCTCTATGGAGGCCCCAGGGTGCTCTGTGCAGAAGGCCAACAGCACAGAGAGAAAACACTTAAAACGAGTTCTAAGGAAAGAAGGCGCTCCTTAGTGCACAGGGGAAAGTACCTGGATGGCAGAGGAATAGCTAAGGCAAGGCAGTAAGAGGTGTGAGCATGGGTACATGAAGTCCCTTAACAAACAAAGATTAAATATACACAAGGGAAGAAATACAATAAAAAGAACCCTATGGTAACATAGGTTTATTATAGCAAGCATTAAATTTACCCAGCTCTAACTTTCCTGGAAATCAAAGCATACAGGAAATTCACTAGATTATATAACTTTCACTGCTTGATATAAGTAAGTACACAGCTTGTCAAGGAATTGTATCTTCCAAAAGCTCTACCTGGCATATACTTGGTTTTAACATCAAAAGCAATTCAAAATTAAAAGCAAGATGGGTAGAATTTGTCCACTGTAATATCTTAGGAAATCTTAACAACCTATATATGTTAGGGCTAATCGCTCAGTCATGTCCGAATCTTTGCAACCCCAGGGACTGTGGCCTATCAGGCTCCTCTGTCCATCAAATTCTCTAGGCAGGAATACTGTAGCAGGTAGCCAATCCCTTCTCCAAGGGATCTGCCCGACCCAGGGTTCAAATCTGGGTCTCTTGCATTGCAGGCAGATTCTTTACTGTCTGAGTCACCAGGGAAACCCTACATGTGTTATGGGGCACAATAAATAATATAATTCTAAACAGAATCCAGCACAGAACCATATTACAGATAATTAGGTACCTAACCATACCTTAACACTGCTAACACTTAAATTACTTAGGGTTTAGTCTAGCTGCCGTGTCAGAGGCCCCCGAATACAGTGACTTAAAATAGAAATGTTTCTCTTTCACATAACATTCTGAATGCAGGCAGTGGGCCAAGGTTGGCAGGTATCTCTGCTTGATGGGGTCATTTAGGGACCCAATTTTTTTCTGTCTTGTGCTTTGCCCTCCCAAGGCTGTCATCACTGTGCATGGGGAACTCTGGCCCCTCAGAACCACCTCAACAGTCCAACCCAGGAAAGATGAAAGAGCGAGCAGGGCAGGAAATTTACATACTTTAAAAAACAAGTTGATCTTCTAGATAAGACAAACCATTGATATAAAAATAATCATCCGGTTGAAAAATCATAATAATTTGGAAATGGCATGTACCACTTCCTCTCCCACCCTATTGGCCAAAAGTTAATCACATGGACACAGCCTCCAGGGAGGCCAGGAAATGTGGTCTGTGGCTGAGGTTAGGGTGGACATATGCCTGCCTACAACTCACAAGCTGTTGTTGCCAAAAGCAAAAAGGGCCATTAGCCTCTGCTGCAGCATCTAAATACAGGTATTCACAGAGAGAAACCAACTGAACAGCAAAGGATTAAGTGGCTCACTAAGGCAGTGAGCTCATCTGTCCCAAGACTTTCTATTTGTCTCAGAGAAAAAAAAAATACTTTTGCTGCTGAGCCTCAATTATGAGTAAAGAGAAGAGAGCATTAGAACAATTGAGGGAGACTTCCATAAACCCTGCAGGCAATGATTCACATTTCTACTCCTCTGAGCCCTCTGCCAAGAGAAAGGCCCACGTATGCAGGTGGTCAAGGTAACAAGCTGATGTCCCCTTCTTCTCACTTCTGCCAAACGTGGGTGATGTTTAAACACCATCCGACTGCCTCACACCATCTAACCCATCCCACGCCTTCCTCAGACTCTGAAACCCTCAACGGCCCCAAGAGGGCAGCAGCTTGGAATCCTTGTGTGGAGGTGGCATCAACAACCCAGGCCCCGCTGTCCCCAGGAAGGTGTTTCTGTGGATGAAAGGCTCTTCCCCACCATGAGCGGGACCAGGGGTTAAGGAGTGGCTCTGTGACTCACGGAGACGCAGAGCGGCTGCCCGGAGGGCACCAAAACAGGAGACGATCGGGAGGGAATCACATAGCTGCAAGCTGAGCTGGCATTTGATGCGGCTCCAGGGACTGACGGCAGGAATTCTGCACTCTCCCACCCAGGGCACCTCCCCGGAAGGGAATGAGCCCAAGGCACCTGAAGGGCACCCCTCTGGAGGACACCGTCTATGCAGCAGCGGAGGCGCCAGCCAGGTGGGCCTGGATCCAAGACCACAGACAGAAGCCTTTGTGATAATCTGGTTCATGTCTCCCTTCTCCCCAGAGACTCCAAGTTCCGTAAGAGTAGGGGTCACACCTGTCTTCTGTCCTGCTATGTCCTGCTACGTCAGTAAACCTTGGTTGACTGACATCCTCTCAACTCTCAGGCCCACATGAAGCCACAGTGCAAGAATGTTTATTGGCTATCTGCTACCTGCCGAGAACTGAAACGAGTGTTTCCCCATATGGTATTTTCGTTCATTTTAACAATATTGACAGCTAAGGATTATCCTCCCCATTGAGACAGAACCCGGGGAGCCCAGAGCCCCTCCCAGACACTCTTCTCATCTCAGGACTGCTGGTTTTCAGCAGAGGCAGACCCCAAAGAGAGCTCAACCGCTTCAGCACACAGCCAGTCCCTTACCTAATCCTCACACAAACCCTGTGGCCTGCGAGTCCATTTTCCACATTTTTCAGAAGAGGAGACAAGCTTGGAAGGGTTAAATACAATTCACCCAAGTCCCTCAGCTACAGGCACCAGAGTTGGGTATGAACCCAGGTCAGTCTGACTCCCAAGCACCAACTCCTTCCACCTATGTGGACTCAAGACTTGACCTTTTCTGTCGACGGAATCGTGTCCCTCCCACAAAATTCATGTGTTGAAGCCCATGTAACTGTAGAGGTTGTGGGACCTTTAAGGAAGTGATGAAGGTCAAATGAGGTCATGAGGGTGGGCCCTCACCTGGTAAGACTAGCCCTTCTAGGAAGTGGCTCTCTCTCTCCATCACGTGAGGACGCAGCAGGAGGTGGTCGTCTGCAAGCCTGGAAAAGGGTCCCCACTGGAAACTGACCATGCTGGCACCCCAGTCACAGAATTCCAATCTCCAGCACTGCAAAGGAAAATAATTTCTGTTATTTAAGCCACTCAGTTTTAGAGCATTTTGTCACATCAGCTTGGACAGGCTAATGTAAGATCTTTTCTAACATGAAATAGCTCAGAGTTGAATGGAGCAAGCGTGGAAGGAAGGATTCCTTTCCCCATTGTTCAATATTTTAAGGGGAAAAAATAGCCTTACTATCTCCCAAGGACATCACAGGGTTTATAGAAGAAATGGGAATTGCTGGAGGGCCAGGCGTGCTGGTTTAACTTCCTCATCAAGAATTTATGGGGCATAAGCACTCGCCAGGAGAGTCCAGAATCTCTTAAAGCAATTCCTCCCAGTCTGAAGAGCCTGCCTTATAAACGCCTGGCCCTCATCACCCCTCTCTCTAGGGGGCAATGCCTGTTCCCTCTGGAAGGTTCTGCCAAGAGTTGCTCAAGCCTTCCCAGATACACAGAGTGCTCAGAACACCGAGGAAGGGGATTGGCGTCTCCCCAGTTTCCGAGAGACGGAACTGGAGTTCCTTGCAGTGGGGGCGGTGGGAGGGGTCCCCGGACTTGCTGAGTAACAATCCTTGAACTCTATCTCTCATCTTAAGACATGAGTTGAAAACCTGTCTCCTATGTCAAAATACAATGTAAGGAAGTATGTCTGAATAAATCGTGTTAAATAAGTGAATCAATTCGTGGGCAAACAATTACATCCAAAATGACAACTAAATAATTAGAGCTATTTGAACACCATGTCAGCCAGAGAGAGAAATAACACAAAAATAAAGAGGAGTGAGGAAGAGAAGAAGGAGGTGGGAAAAGTGAGAGAAGTGCGTTTTCCTCTCTGTTGACCTGCGGCTCCATCAGTCCCCCTCCCAAGTCAGTCTGTCTGCTGTCGATAATGGAGGCCAGGGCGGGGGGCCAGCACTGGGTGAGGGGCTGAGACTCAGAAAGAATTCCATCAAAGCCTCCTTGAGGTTCACAGCATTCTGTCCCATCCCTGCTGAATTGTGCTGAGCAAAGCAGTGTCTGAAAGTGGGAGGGTCTCGTCTCTGGGCTCAGCCAGTGGTCTATCACCATGAACACACAGCAGGGCTTCAGGGTCCTCCAGCGCTCTGATGGTACCCTCCTGGGGGCATTCCAGGTTTGCTGGTAAACTCCAAGTTTGTGCTTCTACATGCCACGTCTCTCTGATGCCTCATAATACCTTTAGGAAGAAGGTATTGTAACCAGCTTCATTTTACAGGAAAGGAAAATAAGGCTCAGAGAGGCTCATTAACTTTTCTAACTATATAGTGAGTGACCACGCCAGATTTGAACTCAGATCTTCTTGGCTCCAAATCCATTGCTCCTGCCACCCTTCCAATTTAATTCCCAGTTCTGTGTCCCATCCCTCCTTTATATACACGTATACAGGTCTAGACATATTTGGAGCTGGGCACAATTCAGACTCACCTTGACTCTGAGTATGTTAGCTGTGTGTGCCCCTGGAAGGAAATTATTTGAACCTGTTAACAAAGGGGATATAAAAGGATAGAATTTAAGCCTGGGAATGAGCCTTGTAAATCGCTGGGCCACCCCAGTGTGGGTTGATGCCAAGGTTGAGGTGAATCACTGAGTGTCTACCAGCAGGAAACAAGACTGGGAGCCCAAGTTCACACCGACAAAGACTTCTCAGGCTCTTTCATAGGAGAAAATCCCCCAGCCCTGTCCCTTTCACATCCCACCATATCCAAAAGCCTCCACTTCTCCAACAACAAATATAACTTAAACACATTTGATGATTCACAGCACAGAATAGAAAGACACCCCACCATCCTAGCGGGTACTGGCTCTGCCAAAGCAAACCCTCAAGGCTTTCAGCAGCATCACACACCCTTTTTCAAAAGTGAGTTCAGCCTTCTCAGTAGACGTTTAGCCAGAAATGAAGTTTCGAATCTACATTTTGAACTCCACTGGAAATAGAAATGTGTTTGCTTTTACCACAACACGTGACTTAGCTCATTTCTGAGCTCTTTGCATGATCCTGTTTTTTCATGGATGTGGTACAAGGGGGTAAGACATGAGATTTATATGTAATTCTCTTATAAATGTTTTCCCAAGGATATCTAATTATCCCATTCAAACTCAAGTACATTGTCTTCTAAGTTTCCAAGTGGCTTAATAATAGAATTGTTTCATTAACTCTGATACATGCTTGGGAATCAAGCAGAAAAATTAGAGAAGAGCTAGAAAAACAAGCAGCTGCAATCTCATGTATTTCTGAGTTCTAAACACTCACGGACTTGGCAGCTGAGGTTGTTTGATCAAAAAGCCATTGCTGGGAGCCCTTTGGTTAATGGACTGTCTGCTGTCCCTGCTCCTCCCACGCCAGCCCCTCCATCCCCCTCCCTCCCAGAGGTGGAAGTCATCCTGTCTCTCCCAGCCACTCTCACCTACTTTCTTCCCATCATCAGTAAACTGGGCTCCACTCTCCTGGATAATAAATGACAGAACTGGGAAGACATCCACCCTCCTGCTCCGGCATCCAGTCTGTGACCACGACTCGTGTAGGTTTCTTCTCCATCTCATGTGGAGAGCAGGGTGGTGTGAATCACTGTGTCTCTCCACTTTGGTTGCACAGAGGAAACAAGAACCCGGACAGCAGAAATGGCTTGACCCAGATGACATCTGCCCCACCCCTCCTTCCCTCCCTGGCAGCTCTCAGGTGGAGGCCCACTGCCTGCCGACTGGGCTCCCTGCTGTATCACCCCCTCCTCCCACCTCCCCCACCACAGACAGTCATGGCTCACGCTCCCACCTGAACTCTTCAAACTCTACCCAGGCCAGATCAAGTCCCCAACCTTTCACTTGGCATTCAGGGACCTGAGGATTCACACTCAGTCTATCCTTCTCACTACTTGGGTCACAAACTTCCAAATGGGTGGTCTTCCAGGCCACCCTGCTTTTGTTTGCCCCGAGTCTCATCTCCTTGCAACTCAGACAACCAGTCAGCATCTTCCTGCCCTCTGTGGCCCCTTCCTGACTGAGTCGTCCAGATATCTCAGTGCAGGGCCCCCCGCCCCCAGCATCTGTGGCTCCCTGACCTGGCAGAGCCCTCTGGGAACATGCCTCCTCTCCCCTGGGCTTTGGGCTCTGCCAGGGTGGAAGCCATGTCCTATTTGGGGGCCCAAGCTTAGCACAAATCAGACATTGAACAATCAGGCACTATAGTGAATGAAGTGCCAGGCCTTTATAAGACAGATATTATCTGCATATTAAGTAATTTCCTCCAAATTGACACTAGAATTATTGTCTATATTGTGAAGGATTTCCAACTGAGTTGCTGAAATAAACTCTTTACCTTCTGGAGGTGTTGTGTAGGAAAATATTTGTACTTCGATTGTAGGTAAGACCCAAGCTGAGGGCCTTCTGCAGAGAGTCACCGAGGAGTCCCCCATGAAAAGGGGTGCAGATCTCCCACTGGGGGTCCCTGAGCCAAGAGAACCGTCCCTGCCCCTCAGGACCCCCCACCACCTCTTCCTCCAAGTAGAGACTGGACGGAGGGGGACAGGGAGAGGGACACACGTCCAGGACCAGGGCTCACAGCCCAGCAGAACTGGAAGGACACGTCTAAATAGAGCTCAGCTGCAGAGCAAGAGGCCATAGGCGCAGTCAAAGGGGACCCAGCCAATGCTATCAGAAGGCAGGGACCTGGCTCCGAGAAGAGGAGGCCTCTCATAGCTGGACCAAGGGCTTTCCACTCAGCCATCGCCAGCAAGCACCTCCTCATGGCCATCAGATAGGCTCCAGCCCATGCAAAGGGATGCTAGGCATAGAGGAGGAACATTTCCTCTTGGTAATGTCTTTTCTTAGAAACACCATTTCCAGAAATAACCTGCTGACCTACCCCACCACCACTGGCCAAGAGTGGGTTTCATCCCACATTTAAACAATCACCAGCAAGGGAAACAGAATTATCATCACAACCAATCAACCTTAACTTCTTAGGAGACCCCAGGAAGCATGGAGCCCCCACAAGGGAACAAAACTGGGGTTCTGTTGAGGAGTTAGAAAGAGGGTAGTGGTTGTACCAACTACGAAACTAGACTCTCAGTCCAGCACACTCAGACCTTCCCAGCTGACTTGATCCTACACACACCCATCCTGTAGGGTGACATGACCTCAGCTGGAAGAGGCAGTGTCTGGATGGAGGACAAGTTCTCATCAGTGGCGTTAGAAAACCTGGATTTTCCAATCTGTTCTGATACTTGAGAGTCATCTGGCATTGGACAAGTTACTTAACCTCTCTGAGCCTGTTTGGTCAACTGAAAATGGGATTATAATTCTTCACCCAGCTGAGGAATGGTGTGTGTGCTCTGTAAAACCTTATTCCACGTAAAGTGGCCACCTTGTCTTCTCATCAAAGCAGTGTAAAGATGATGATGATATTAATATAAGATGCAGCTGGTTGGCTGGCACCAATGGTGGCTATTTTGGGAGGAGCGGTTACCAAGAAACACGAGGCTCTGGTAACCTTGACAACCATAGGTAAGACAGAAAGATGGCGCATTGACTTTCTGGATTCCATTCTTATCTCTTCCTCATGAAGCTTGGTATCTGGTGATTTGTTTGTTAGATGAGGCATCTACTGGGGCCAGGCAGGGCCCAGCATTGGCCCGGCTGTACTACTGTTAGACAGAATGGTCCAGAAGAGCTCTGGAAGGACACAGACAAGTCCCTGCTTCTGAGGTCCCTGGGAAAAGTGCCCGCTAGAAAGCATTGAAGCCTGGCTCCCTACAGTTCATGGCACCCTAGAAGTCCAGACTACACCAAACACTGTGTGCGGGAGCCAGGTGGTACAAGGCAGACCCTGGTGAGCAGTTACAAACTCAGACAGCAGCTATATATAGGTGCAGGCAGGGCTGCCCAAGAAGGGGCAACAATGATGCTCCTTCATAAACTCAAAGTGTTTGAGGGCTTCCCTGGTGGCTCAGATGGTAAAGAATCTGCCTGCAACTCCGGAGACCCTGGTT